GGGAAGTCGTCGGGGGCAGGCTGGGAGCTGGGGGCCGGTCTCTCTGGTCCAGAAGGGAAGTCTTCGGGGGCAGGCTGGGAGCTGGGGGCCGGTCTCTAAGTCTCAGGAAGTGGGTCGAATATTTTCTTTAAATTTGTCAAATATAAATAGACTAGATATTGTTACTATAATTCTTGCTTGATAACTGTTTTGTTATATGTAATTTTACTATGTTAAAGTTAAAACCTTCCTTTTTGTTTATACAGAAAAGAGTAAATGCTGTGGGATAATGCCCTTGTACACTGGTTTAATAAAATGCTGATTGGTAAGGCTCCAGTGGCAGTGTGACACTCGGACACCCACATGGCCCCAAGTGGTGGTCCAGACCCCTAGCATCCACATGGCCTTTGATGGTATCATGAGCCACAGACATCAACACAGAACCTGCCTGTTGTAGAGCCACAGACCCAGACATGGCCCCTTGCTGCAGACCAGGCTTAGATGTCACCATGGCCCCAGGTAGCGGCACAGGTCATCCTGATTAGCATGGCCCCAGCAGAAGTATGGCCCTTGGAGACCAACATGGACTCAGGTGTTTGACCAAACTACAGTCATCTATATAGCCTTCAGTGGTTACTGAAATCATGTATATCAATACAGACCCTGACTGCTGTAGGGCCCTGGACCAGACATGACCCCAAAGCAGCGGCCCAGGCCTGGATGTCATTATGTCCCTGAATGGCAGCATAGGCCACTCAGATCAATGTGGCCCCTGTGGAGACATGACCTTTTGTAGCAGGAATCTTAACAGTTCTTATTAATAAAATCAAACCTGAGGCCAGTTATTGGGGTGAACACTGGAAGATCAGAGAGACAGAACAAGCCACAGCTACCCCACCTCACCAGTTCCTCAGCTGATCTTGTTTCCTCAGACTGGAAGCCTTTGAATCCTTATCTGAATGGGTCTCAGCTGAACTACTGCTCAAAAGCCTGAAGCTTAACCAGCTAAAAGCTTAGCCAGCCAAATGCTTCTAGTTTCTTGTACTCACGTCTTATATACTTTTCTGCTTTCTACCACCACTCCCTGGGATTAAAGGCTCGCTTTCTGGGATTAAAGGCGTGTGTCACCATGCTTGGCTGTTTCCAATGTGGCCTTGAACTCACAGAGATCCAGAGGGATTTCTACCTTTGGAATGCTAGGATTAAAGGTGTGAGTACCACCATTTTCTAGCCTTTGTATCTACTGGCTGTTCTGTCTCTGACCCCAGATAAGTTTATTAGGGTGCACAATATTTTGGGGCACACAATATCACCACAACCTTTGGACACCAAAATGGCTACAGGTGGCAGCCCACACCCTGAACATCCCTGTGGCCTCAGTAGCAACAAGGGTCATGGACGTCAACTAGACCCCAGCTGTCTCAGACCCAGATATGGCCATAGGTATCAGCTGAGGCTTAAACATCACCATGGTCCTGAGTGGCAAGCAGGCCACCACCATCAGCCCATTTCTCACAGCCCTCGCTTCCTCAGAACTGCCTCTTACCACAGCACGTGAACCATTCTGCTTCTCTTTCTCTCCCATTTTATCACCACATACTTGCTGATCATATTGGTGCCTGATCACGCATGCCTCAAAGCACTGGGCAGACATGTAGATGCTTCAGGCAGGCTGGACCATGAGGACCCAGGCTACCCTGTGGGTGTCTTTTGCCCTCCTGAGCTGCATGACATCAAGGGGCTTGTGGATGTTCAGGCAGCCCAAACCATTCACATCTCTCTTTTTAAAGAATAGATTTATTGGGCTTAATGTAGTTGCATGATCCCAACACTTAGGAGGTGTAGACACGAGGGTCAGGAGTGCAAAGTCATTCTCAGCTACATAGCAAATTTGAAGTCAGCCTGAGTTTTGAGACCCTGTCTCCACAAACCAAAAGAAAAAAAGAATTACTGTTTTTATTAGTAACTACAAAGATGATACATAGTATAACAATATAACAGGATATTTTATATTCAAGCATATATATACAATACACAGCTATAGTATGTGTATCCATGTATAACACACACAACACAGTATGAAATTTGGGGATTTTAGGAGAACACAGAAATAGCCACCATTAATTATTCCATATGCAACAATCCTGAAATATATAGGTATATGTGCATCCTTTGAGCTCATACCATGCACAGTTGTGTGGTCAGCTGCTTTTCATTCAACATTATAGTATGGATGTTGTGAAATTTGTTTTTGAAAACATGTCATTTGATTTCTGCACACTGTCATTCCTTAAAATTGTCTTAAAAACAAATTATTTATTCTTTGAGAAGTTCATATATGTTTGTATATATGTATATGTACATATATACATAATATGTTTTTATTATATCCACTTCCTGCCCCTCCAACAACCTCCAGACTCCATCCCCCAGTGACTCTCCCTCCCAACTTCATGGTCTTTTTCATTTTACTTTAACTCCTCGGGTCCAGTTAGTGCTGCCACTAAGTCTGTGGATATGAGGTCATTCACTGGAGTGTGAGCAACTTATCACTGGCCAAACCTACAAAGAGAAAAATTGCTCCCTCTCTCAGCAGCCACCAATACTTCCCCAGGTAGGGGATGTGGCCTGGTGGGCCCCTCCTCCACTTTGTCATTCTTAATAATTTTACATTAAAGATCCTTGAGTTTTTGTTTTCTTTTGGACCCTGTACATTTTATTGTGGGTGTATGTTTTTATTTATTGAGACTATTTTGTTTACACAACTGATGTTCATTATAGAATCTGGCCTGCTCTTTTCTGAAGGGAGATGGGGGAGTGGATCTGGTGGAGAGCAGATGTGGGAGGGGAAACTGTGGTTGGGATGTAACGTATGAGAGAAGAATTTTAAATAAAAAGAATCTATGTCTGTAGACAATGCATGGAAAGAAAATGAAAATCATCCCACACTTGACTTCTTATAAATGAATTCCTGAAATCGTGTGCTGTAGATTCATTGAGAACTTTCTGTGCAGTAATGCAGACTTGAACCCAATGAGCAAAGTTTATCAGTATGCGTTGCATGTTTTCCCTTTGACAGAGGCTTATCAAAAGTAGACGTCTGAACCATGATGACGTCATGTCCTCTTGTCTATATATTCTTTAGTTTGTCTACTGCCCTCGTAAAGTGGACTTGCTTGTGTGGCCATTTATTAGGTATCTTGTCCCCTCAGAGAGACATGCACTCTTCTCAAGGCTAGGCCCAGTGCAAACATGTTGAGAGCAGCATGATTAAATTGCCAAGTCTGTCTATTGACAACAAACTGCTCTTGGAAGGAATCTGGTCTTCAGTCAGATCTTCCGTCTGAGGCAGAAGGCCTTTGATGTCTTTTCTGATACTGGCCTTGGCAGCTACAGACGTGCAAGCCTTTCTGGGAGGAGACTCCTTGCTCTCCACACACTTAGGACTGCTTTGGGCACCAGCTGCAGGAAGCTCCGCACTGCTGGCACTGTCTAGGCTCGGGCATGGTGGGTGAATGCTTGCTTTGGGTGGAGATGAGAGCTCTAATGTGGGGGAGGAGCCTATGGTGCTGAAAGGGCTCTGGCTCCCGAATATTGTCACCCTTAGTTGGAGTTCGCCTTCTTCCTGAAGGCAGAGACAGGTACCTGTTCTGAGGTCGTCAGCCTGGGGAACTGCACTTACAAGGAGTCCTGGCATGGAACAGTCTTCTCTCGGGCTGTGGCCTCTGCTGCTGCTGGCCTGCTGGCCTCTTCCTCCTGGTGAGTGTGTGTTGCTGTGTGAAGGCCTGGGTGTCAGGGACACAGGTCTATAGAATATTAGTGACTGTGCTCAGGGATGGCACAGTGCTGGTGGTGTCCTTACTGTGTGTGTGTGTGTGTGTGTGTGTGTGTGTGTGTGTGTGTGTATTTTAACTTTGATTTCACCAAAGCAACCATTTGGATTCTGTAACAATACAAAGTATGGGATTGGGATGTGTAGTGAAGATAAGCCAGCTTCTTCTTCTTCTTCTTCTTCTCCTCCTCCTCCTCCTCCTCCTCCTCCTCCTCCTCCTTCTTCTTCTTCTTCTTCTTCTTCTTCTCCTTCTTCTCTTCCTCCTCCTCCTCTTCCTCCTCCTTCTTGTCTTCTTCTACTTCTTCTCATGGTTTCTCTGTGTAGGCTTGGCTGTCCTGGAACTTGCCCTATAGACCAGGCTGGCCTTGAACTCAGAGATCCACCTGCTTCTACCTTCTGGTGCAGGGATTAAAGGTGTGCGTCACTGTTCCAGTCTGAAGATGAGCTTTCTAATCATGAAGCATTCTAAATGAAACCCAGAATGTTCTCTCTGTGTTTTTGTTCTTATTTCTGAAGGTCTGGCTGGTGAGAACTTGGTGAATTTCCTGGGTGGTGATAATAAATGTGAAGGCCAAATACAATTGCTGTATGATGGACAGTGGGGCCTTATGTGTGGGGACGGCTTGGGCATGCAGGAGGCCTCAGTGATCTGCAGACAGCTCGGCTGTGGCTCTGTGCATTCTATTTCCCAGTATATTTTGACACCTGAAGAGATGAAACAACCTTGGCTATATGGTGCCCAGTGCCGTGGTGAGGAAGCCACCCTCTGGGAGTGCCTCCTGGGGCCCTGGGGGCCCCTCAGCGGCTGCAAATGCCAATGTGTGGCTGTGATTATCTGCTCAGGTAAGTTAGATGGAGACCCCGAGTTCCTAACTCCCTAGGACTTCTCTGTCTCGGCTATGGAAGCATGGAGGCAAATGCTTAGGGGAGGGTCTGGTCAGGTATGAACACATCCTAAGCTTGGAGTCTCAATCCTACTGGGTTCTCACCTTTTGTAGACACTTTCCCAGTAACTTTAAATAAGATCTCCAAGTTTTTAAAGTTATCTACTTCCCTTGTTAATGTTGACCACTAGAGAATGTTTTCCCATTCTGACTATGCATAAAGCAAAGCTCCAACCAAGGAGTTAGCCACATGGTGTAGAAGGCAGAAGCTCTGGCTCACTTTCCCTGGAAGGATGGGGTTTGTTACTTTAGGAAAACAGCAATGGGTGGGGACACCTCCAGGGGTACTATGGACAATGACTCAACATGGGGCAGTCAGTACCCATCCCTTGTGTTTGCCCTAGGGATGCAATACCAAGACTCGGTTTCTCTTCTATGCCACCAGGTGGTACCACACGACAAATCGGCCTAGCTGATGGTAGCAGCCCTTGTGCTGGGATTCCAGAGGCCACTGGCCTTTCAGGCCTTTCCCTGAGATGTGACTTGCAGAAGGTGGAGGCTGGTGTTCTCTGCAGACAGCTGGAATGTGGCACTGCTCTACAGTGGTCCAGAGCCCATCATAGAGCAGATAGGAAGCCAGAAGAGAAGTACATTAAATGCAAGGGAACAGAGCCTGACATTTTACATTGCCAGACCAATGTGAACTTCCTAGAGCAATGTGACCTTCTGACCTACACCCAGGTCATGTGCACAGGTAGGAGAACCCACACAGAGTGTTTCACTCTTCATATTGTATATATATACATGAAGAAAGGAGACCCAGATATCTGCTCCACGGTAATGTCAATGGACCCCTTACCCCAGATACATAGCTGAAAATAATCCACTCTGCCACCGAGATGTAGTTGTAGGAGACCCCAAGGTGTTCCCTGAAATCAGTGCTCACTGCCCTTTCCAGGACACAGATGGCCATGATTCTGTAGAAGCCGAGTGGTCAGAAGGAGTGTTGGTGCTCAGGGTCTGTGTGGAGTCCAAGGTTCAAGGGAGGACAGAGCAGGGATCAGAGTATTTGGTCTGTAGTCCTCAGTGTTGTGGTCCTCCGTGTCAGGGCTAATGAAGGTGGTCCTGTATCCTCCTCCCACACCATTCATTTCTGGGGACCCGAAAGCAGCCATCAGGTCACGTCACCTAGTGCCTGTGTGGAGGCTTCCCTGACCTCAGTCACTTCAGTCTGGCCTTTGTCCCAAGGACACCTGGAAGTCTCACTGGTGGGTGGTGAGCACCTCTGTAAGAATTCCCTGGAGGTTCAGTGAGAACTGACCTGGACTTGCTCATAGATCATATGTGTTGCTGGGAGTTGGTATGGTGTGGCTGTATCCACATCTGGGAGTTTGGCTGGGGTTCAGTGCCTGGGCCTTCCACTATGTGGGCAATGTGTCACTGATGTTCCGTTGTCCACGAGAGCCTGGACACTGCTGTGGCCATGACCAAGATGCTTCCCTGACTTTTTCAGGGGAAGTGAGTGAGGTGATGGACTGGTAGGGTGTGATATGGTCAGAGTCTGGGGTCTGGGCTGTGATAACCATGGATAGCTAGGCAGGTAATTCAGGGCCTGTGTTCTCTGATGCAGAGGTTCCTTGGCCTCCTTTTTACCTTCTCTAGCCTTTCAGGTTTGTTTACTTTTGTCAACCTTTGGACAAATGTCTCCTCAGCTCTGTTATGGATTTCAGAAATAGCTGGTCTGCCTTTTTTGAGTGTCATTGATTGTTTTGCATATTTTTATGGCAGACTTTAAAACTTGACATTGCAAGTCCAAAGTCCTGCAGCATCACCTCTAGCTTTCCATGTCCTTTAGCACTATGTCCAGGGCTTTGATGGGCCTTGAGTCACTTTGTTTCTGGTGTGTGTGTGGGGGACCTAGCTCACATGTTCCACATGGATATCCAGTTTCTCCAGAACCTTGTTTGAGACACTCTTTTTCCTATGAGAATGGCCATAGTCCCTTTAAGAAATTTGATGACTGTAAGTGTGTGTGATGATTTTTGTACTATTATTTCTGTTCCACTGGTCTCTGTGTCTAGCCTCATGCCATACCACATGGTTCACGTAGCTTTGCTGTAAGTTATGAAATGAGGAAGTTGAGTATCTAGCTGCTGGTATGGTTGTGGGTCTTTGGGAATTCTCATCTCTACAAGAATACTAAAATTAACTTTCTAACTTTCTGAGAACTTGCTTGGGTTTTGATAGGCATTGCACTGCATATACCAACTGCTTTGGGTGAGGTCGTCATCTTCTTAGACCATGTCCTCAACCCTTGATATAAAGCCTGTTCCCATCTATGTAGATCTTGTGCAATTATTTTTTCTTGATAAATTTAACTTATTAGAAATGAAACAGATGGTATCATCTGTCTAGCCAGAGGCTCTTGTTTTGATAATGGTGGCTGGTATGTGTTTTGTCTTGTACAGTCGGCCTTAGAGCCAACCAGAAAGTGGGTGGTTACTCCCATAACATTCATGTCATTGTTGTGCTGATGGTCATGTCTTGCCAGGCCAGTCATTTTTATAGCTCTCAGGGCTCATGGCTGGGTAAGACTGATGATTACGTTTCTTCTATGGCAGTATGCACCACACCATTCAGCATTATGAAAGCTGGATGGTAGGGACAAAATTTCCAGATCAGTACCCACTTGATTTCTTCATGTTCTATGACTCAAGTATGTGGTGTCTTCAGCAACAGGGGCTTACTGTCAAATTCTGGAGACTAACCAAGAGCATTGGCAATAACAGGAACTATTTAGGGGTCTTTGTAACCTCAGTGACTAACAACTCTGAAAGAAGTAGCCCATTGACACTGGGCTTTTTTATTTGCTAGCCGGTGGCATCTCATGTATGTCCTGGTTAGTCTTTTGTCAACTTGACATAGCTGGAGTCATTTGCAAAGAGGCACCTCAATGTAGAAAATCCCTCCATCAGATTCCCTGTAGGTAAATCTATGGGGGCATTCTTGATTAATGATGGATGTGGGAGGGTGTAGCCCACTATGGGTAGTACTACTCCTGGTCAGGTGGTCCTTGGGTGTATAAGAAAGCAAGCTATGGAGAGTAAGACAGTAAGCAGTATTCCTTCATAACCTATGCTTCAGTTCCTGCCTCCAGGTTCCTGCTTAGCCCCTGCCCTCATTTCCCTTCATGGTAGACTGTAATCTATAAGCTGATCACTGCCCCAATCTCCTATTTTCTTTTGGTCATAGTATTTTGTCACAGCAATAGAAACCAAATTAGAACAGAGAATTGGTACCAGGGATGGGACAGATCTGTGGGGACAGACCTGGCCATGTTGTTTTTGGGATGCTTGCAGAAGGATTTTGACATTTTGGGCTAGAAAAGTCACTGAGTATTCAGAGCTTAATAGGCTGTTGTAGGAGCTTGGAAGCCAGGGATGCTGAAAGAGATGCAGACAGCAGGGGCCTGGCTTGGAAAGTTCCAGAAGGAAGCAAAGACTCTGTCTGGGCTGTGTGTGTGTATGTGTGTGTGTGTGTGTGTGTGTGTGTGTGTGTGTGTGTATACATTTTGAATTAAGAATTTGTGATCAGCTGGGGTTGAAGAATCAGCTATGATCAACAAGCAATCAGAACCATTGAAGATAAAACTTGCTATATTGGGACAATTGATTCTGGTTATTTGAGACTGAGAAATCAGCTGCAATAAAAAGAGACCAGCATCCTTGAGGCAAAATCTTCTGGGCAGTATTTCTTCAGGGTCGGCACACAGAAGCTGTGGTCTGGGAGTAGGGTAGGGGTAAGGCTGCATCCCATGCTGGCTTCTAGACTAGGTAATGTGTAAAAATCTCCCCAGGTGGTACTGGTTTTGGCAGTGTGAGAACCCTAGGATTTAAAGGGTCATGGAAAAAAGTTGAGGCCTGGCACCATGTGGCAGGGTCAGAGTTTCTGAAGAGAGCCCACGACAGGCTCTCTTCAGACTGGTGAAGATCAGTCTAGTTGCAGTGGTGACCCCCAAAATTTGGAGTTCCCAGTACAAAGGGATGACCACCAAGGACAGCAGCAGCTGTGGCGTGGAGCTGGCTTAAGCCTTTGAGGTAAGCTTTGTGTGCTGTGGAGGGCAGATCTTGACAAGTGGACCGTCCCGAGCCCATTGGAGCCAGAAGATCATGAGCAAACCCCAGCTGTCCTACCCCACTCAGAATGGCTAAGGTCAGCAAAGAAAATGACAGAAATTCCTGGTAAGGTGGGGGAAGAGGAACCCTCAGTCTCTGTTGGTGGGAATGCAAATTGGTATGGCTGCTATGGAAATCAGTATGGGGAATCCTCAAAAAGCTAAAAGGAAATCTATGATATGACCTAGCCATACTCCTTGGCATATGCCCAAAGGACTTGACAACCTACTCTACAGATACTTAGTCAGCAATGTTCCTTGCCACCCTATTTACAACAGCCAGGAAATGGAAACAACTTAAATGTCCTTCAGTAGATGAATGGATGATGAAAATGTGTGGTAAGTATACACAATGGAATACTATTCAGCTATAAAGAAAAATAAAATTATGATATTTTCAGGTAAATGGATGGGCATAGAAATGATCATACTGAATGAGGTAACCCAGACCCCAAAAGACAAACACCATATGTTCTCTGTCACCTGGGGTTCCTAGCTCCAAACCCTCAGATGCGAGTAAGCAATGAGTAACCTTAGAAACAAGGAAAGTATAAAGGATTATAGGTGGTGGCAAGGGGGGTGCTATTGAGGGGAATAACAGGGTATAGGCAATATGAATCTGGAAATAGAAAAACTGGAAGGAGGCTCCAACTGGGCAGGCGAGAGGGAGGTCAGTACAGAAAGACATTGAAGGATGAAGGATAATTAACATTAAAGTCATTTGATAAAGCCTCAAAGAATCATATTATATTTACCTAATATTATACTATATCTATATCTTCAGGGAAGTTACACCACTTGGGTTGACAATGCTCCCCACAAGGACCATAGACTAACAAACAACCCAGTACCTGGCACCAGAAACCTCCTTTTCAGTGGTTGTTCAGAGTACTTCAAGTGATTCCCCAAACAATATATATAGGCCACTGCCATTGTCTTTGGTTGCCTCTTAGAAGTTTAAGGTAAGCCCCTATTGCTGAAGACACAGCATGTTTGGGATACAGGGCTAGATTATTTGAGTTGCATCTAACCTGAAAGCCTCTTTTCTGAATTCTAGCCTCTATACTACCAGAGAATACTATACAAGCTGCCAATTAATAGTCCACTGAGCAGTGACATCTATGAACCACAACCATGACCAGTGTGATAAGCCATCTGTAAAGGTTCAAAAAGTGGCATTCACATATAGGTTGTAACCAACACCTGTCTAACTGAACTTAAGGCCCACCAAGAGGAGGGAACTCATCCTAGTCAATTGCCTGGGGCTAGTGAGGTCATGGATCTTAGAAGCGAATCTACTGAAGGGGTGTTCCCTTCTGGACTCCAGATTAGGCACAGACCATCACCCAAACACCAGTTTTCAACACAAAGAGATCTCTATAGGGCAGAAACAGCAGCAAGTGCTCTGCAGGAGTAGTTTTTAAGGAGAAAAAAGGGAAGTCCATGCTGGGATGAGTTGGTAAGTTCTGATTGGACATGGTAGTCAGTGTAGCCAAATAAGGGATTTTGATAGCTGGACCTTGGTGGCCAGCCTCAGGGATGAGTCAGGCATGAGGAAATGGTCAAATAAGGAGTCTAGTGGTTTAACAAAAGAGAATCAGGGTGTGGGGATGGGCAGTGGGGGGAGGGGGAGGGCAGGACCTGTCCCCGTTGGCACTGTGTTTACCATTTTGGGCCTGTTAGAGCCCTTCATTTACTACTGCTACTTGCTAGACCATACTGCCTCAAGTACATTCTAAATCTTATCCTTATGCACACAGATAAGTGCAGTTACCACCCCTTATCACAGGAGCCTCTCTTTGTAGGAAATGGAGACCATCATAGAAAACCACCATAGGACACACTATAGAATCGGTGGGTAGTGGGAGCTCAGCCCCAATGAATTCACCTACATCTCAGCTCCAGCATCTATGGCTCAGAGAACTGTAGCAGAGGGGAAGACTGTAAACTAGAATAGCAGAAGTCTGCTATGAGACTGTCTCTCCTAGAAATGGATAGCATTTGTATAAACAAGACTGGGACAAAGCCAACATCAACGGACATGTTAATGCTGAAGGGGAAAATTTTCACAGTGCTCCACCTCTAGACAAAGAACCACTGGCAACTAATGACTGCAGGTAGGGAGAATTAGACTCTCCCAGATATAAGTCTCCTAATTAGTTATCCAATACAACCGGTCAGCACTGAAACCATGTATACACCACCAACCAAAAATATACTCATCAGGCGATGTATGTACGTATGAGTGGATGTATGTACACACACATATATGTATGTAACAGTAATAAAAAAACTGAGACTATCAGTTTTAAAGGGGGGGGCATGGCAGGAGTTGGAGGAAGGA